AGCAAGTGGACCAGACATCAATGAAAATGGGTGGCCCACGTGATCCAGCCTTTCAGAGTGCCTCTGTTACAGTTTCCTCAGAATTCTGTATCCAGAATAGCTTCAAGGATGCTGGCTGAGAAGGTCCAGCCCCACAGACTATTCTAGCCAGGACTTCAGATAAGTCTTGTACTTTCCCATTACATAGAGACTATACAACAAATGTTATAGCTTGTTTTCTTAGAACTTGACCATTATCTCAATTTCTTCAGTGTCCCCTGGGGATGCTATCACTCACAGACAACAGGAAGCAGTTTAGAGAACACAATGTCCACATTCCCATGAGGTGGAGGTGGGATGGGTGGTTTTTGGTCATTTAGTGGGCTATGGATATTTTGTCATCACTTACTGGGGGTATAGGAATATAGGGTAAAATGACAACTATTAATCTCAAATATTTTACATTGGTATGGATTATTTGTATATTGATACAAATTTAAAGTTATGTTTATCTACCCTTGTTTAAGGTATTGTACCTATGTGGCTCATTTAAAAATGTAATATAGTAGGACAGCACTTGGGAGGCAGAGGCAGGAGAATCTCTGTGAGTTCAAGACCAGCCTGGTCTACAGAGCAAATTCCAGGACAGCCACGACTGTTTCACAGAAAAACCCTGTCTCAAAAAACAAAAAAGAGTAATATAAAAGTTCTAGTCCTTGAAAGTTATTATTACACACAGTTTAGGATAATTTAAAAAATACAGGTTAACAGTTATCTATAACGATAATCTATAACTATCATACTTGTCTGATGGGAGATGTCATTTTGTAAATGTTTCTCTTATTGGTTAATGAATAAAGCACTGTTGGCCAATAGGAAAGCAAGATAGGTGGGACTAGGAAACAAGGAGGATTCCGGAGTAGGGAGGATCCAAGATGGAGGATGGAGAGGTAGAACGCTAGCCCCTCTCTCCGGTAAGATAAGACCACGTGGAAACTTAAATTGATAGAAATTGGTTAATAATTAAGACAGAGCTAGCCGATAAGAAGCTAGTAACTGGCCAACAGAATTATATCTAATAAAGTGTGTGTTATTTGGGGCTGGTGCAGCGGTGGGTCCAGACCAGCAGGGAAAAACCTTACTTGTAACACTTGTCTGTTAGGTATGTTTTCAAAATTAAATAGATATATTTTAGATAAGTAATCTTCAAACACTTCAGAGACCTACAGAATATGGCATTTAAGATGTTTAAAAACCTAAGTCTTTTCTTCACAGCAAGATATATCTCTTGGCAGGACCAATCTACTTCATAAAAGGACGATGGGCATTGAAGAACTTCCATATGGAGCTTGTTTTGATTGTAGCAAAGCTAGCCATTTGGGCAAAAAATTGCTGTTGCCTCAACTGCTGACAATATAACGTACAAACTGGACAAGCAGGACACAAAGGAAAGACTACAGAACTTTGCCAAGACAAGGTAGGACGGTCCTTCAAAAATTCCTGCTTCACAGCAGAGTCTGTCAGATATTCTAGGCCTATAGGCTGAAGATGGATGACCTAATGTGCAGAGGAATCTTGGGTGTTTAGGCAGCCAGCTGCTTCTATTATTTCTGTAGTTTTGGAAGTTGCTTGCTCTGCACTGCTGTTTACTCAGGTAATATTATATCCTTCTGGGGTCTCTGATGGAGCTGAAAGTGAGATAGCTGTAGCTTTCATTTTTACCAAACTCAGAAAAGAAACTTATATAAGAGATGTAAAGTTTATAATGTTAAGAAACATAAAGGCTTAAACTTTATCTAAGAAAATATTTTGAGGTCTAAAAAGATAATTTTGGGTTGGTAATATGTTAGGATAGAAAGTAAACAACTTTGAACTCACCAAAATAGGATATTGGAGTATTTTCTCTGAATTTGCCAAATACAAATGGAGTAGATATTGTATCTACTCCATATTGTATGTAATTCTTATTGTATATAGTCTTACTATGTTAAACTAAAACCTCTTTATTTAGACAAAAAGGGGGAAAAGTTGTGGGATATTTATTTAACTATGCAAAGATGTGTTGCATTTGTTCAGTTATGTAAAGATGTGCTGCTGTTTTACCTTGTCTGCCTAAGGCACCTGATTGGCCTAACAAAAAGCTGAACAGCCAATAGTGAGGTGGGAGGTAAAGGTAGAACTTCCTGGCAGGGAGAGTAAACAGGAGGAATTTAGGCTTGAGAGGAAAAACAAAACAAAACAAACAAACAAACAAACAAACAAAAAAAAAAAAAAACGACAGAGAAGACGCCAGGAGCCAGACAGACACACACAGAGAAAGCAGGGAAGTAGGACGTACAGAATGAAAGGCAAAATGTAGATTAATAGAAACAGGTTAAAGTAAAAGAGCTAGTGGGACAAACATAAGCTAAGGCTGAACATTGAGAATTAATGATAAGTCTCCATGTCTTTATTTGGGAGCTAGTTGGTGGTCCAAAGAAAATTCCAGCTATAAAAATACTTATATCCTACACACACACACACACACACACACACACACACACGAGTCAGGTATAGTGTCATATACCTTTATTTAACACTCAGAAATCAGGAAGATCTGGGAGCTGGTTGGTGGTTCAAAGAAAATTCCAGCTATAAAAATACTTATATCCTACACACACACACACACACACACACACACACACACACACACACACACACACACACACACACGAGTCAGGTATAGTGTCATATACCTTTATTTAACACTCAGAAAGCAGGAAGATCTGAGTTCCAGGACAGCCAGAGACAGAGATACCAAAAAATGAACAAAAAACAAAACCCTACAAATGAACAAAATGAGTTGACTAGATAAAGTAAGGGTAAGGGACACGGGTCAATTCTTGCTGGATTATTGATCTTTCCAGAATAACCTACTGGCCATGAGTACATCCAGAGATGGTAGGTACCTGGCAGGAAGGAATGATGGTGGAGTCTGCTGTCTCAAAGACCAGCATCCATGACACTGAACTGAAATAGCAACTGAGACTTGCACCACTCAGAAGCAAGATAAATTACTGGCTTCAGTGGATGGAGCTCAAAGCCCTGGGGGTGTAGCTGTAGTGGTGACAAAGCTTCCTGTGTGCTCACACAGGACATGTGAGTTTCACCAAGTCTGACATTTCTGCACCTTCAAGTCTCCCAGATGTTAAATACCTGGAAGGCATACAAATGATGAGAATTTTAATCAAGCGCAGCTGGAACCTTTGTTAAGGGTGAGCCTCTGGGTGCAATCTTGGGGCAGGGACATTTCTGGATAAAGTCGTAGTATGGAAATTCATAAGCTTTCCCCTGAGTATCTTAACTGTACAAAAAATAATTTGTATTCTCTGACTTAAGTTTTCTATTGTATGTACTTAGTGTGCATTCAGGTGTTACAGCATGTGTCAGGTTCAGAGGATAACTGGAAGAGGTTGGTTCTTGACTTTGACCACATGGGTACTGGAAAGCAAACCAGGTCAAAGTCAGGACTGATAAACAATGCAGTTACCCACTGAGCTACCTCACTGGTCCCATTTTCTGAACTTTTTAAAAAAAAAGTTGGGTATAACATGGCATACCAAGTCTTTTATTTTTTTCTTCTAGTTTGTTAAAAGTTCCTTGATACTTATATAAGACAGGCAAGGTGTTTAATGTGGTTTAGGGACTATAGGCTGCAGAGCTTCATGGTCCAATGCTTCAAAAACCTATTAGAACTCTGAATTTTGTTAGTGTTCAGTTGTTATACATGTGTTAGCTTGAAAACCGTATAGTCCTGCGTATTTAATAATGAATTGATGGGAATATTTTAAAAACCCTCCGATATTGTTTGAAGATGAAGCCTCATATATATGCTAGCAAAGTGCTTTCCCAGGCAGCTAGGAGCTCTAGCTTCCCTTATTATGAGATAGTCCTTCTATGCAGTCCAGGCTTTGCACAACTCAAGACAGTCCTTGATTCTGCCTCCTGTAGGATTATAGGCCAGCACTCTGGCATTTCTTACTGTACATGGGTGTTTTGCCTGTATGTGTAGTACTTGTGTGCCTAATGCCTACAGAAGTGACAAGGGGGTGTTGGATTCTCTGGAACTGGAATTAGAGTTATAAGCTACCATGTAGGTTCTGGAATAGAAACCAGATCCTCTGGAAGTACAGAGTGCCCTTAACTTCTGAGCAATCTCTCCAGCCCCTCATCTATTCTTTTTTTAAAAGTTATTTATGGATACAGTGTTTATATTCCATATATGCCTGCAGGCCAGAAGAGGGCACCAGATCTCACTATAGATGGTTGTGAGCCACCATGTTGTTGCTGGGAATTGAACTCAGGACCTCAGGAAGAGTTGCCAGTGCTCTTAACCTCTGAGCCATCTCTCCAACCTACCTCATCTAAAAACATGAATCAGTTTTCGTTTCTACTTAAATTAATTGTAATGTGCAATCCCAGAAGCTGGATTTAAAAATCAGTGTTCAAACTAAAACCAAACTTCTTCAAAGTGTTTTACACACATTGTTGATCAGTAATTTTAAAGTACAGTGTGAGGAATGAAAACAAAAAACCCAAAAAGACTCTTTGGGTAAAAATACAAAACAGTCTATAAACCAGAAATCACCTGCTCCATGCTCAACTTCCCATAATTGAATTTCCAAAAGAGCAGTTTTACAAAGTGTAGCCCATCAGGCACTCACTGTAGTCCAGACGTGTAACAAATCAGTTCTTACACAGGTTGGATTCTCATCTGTAAGCCTATTAAAATTTTGACAATTATTCAATGCTCCACCCACTAACCCATAATACACCTGTGTTAAGACAGGATTCATCTGGTTGTTCTCTGCTTGCTTTGTACAGTGGATTAACACAGGTGCAGGACAGTTAACCTGGTAATGCTTGCTTTCAGCCGCCAGTCTAGGGAAAAGTGTAAGATGAACACATTTTCCAGTTTCTTAACTGGAAAATAAGCCTGGTCCCCATTTACGGACAATGAGGATAAAGGCAGCACAACCAAATATGGGAAACTGCTTTCTCTTTATTTAGACCTTAGGAGGAAAAAAACGAACTTTGGTCACATAGTATCTTAAAAAAAAAAAAAAAAAAAAAAAAAAATCCAGTTTTACATGTCTAAATACACAGGACTAAATGAGCAGAGAAAATCTTCTGAAAAACTAGTCAAATTTTATCAAAACTTTACTATACAATGAAATCAAATTATATAAAGACATTTTGGGTTCACAACCTTCAGAAAGATGTGACAGCTGCACCTCTGCCCACCAGTGTCCTGTGCTTGCTCCTGTGCTACTCTGGTCTGGGAGCGGAGACTTAACAAGCATCATGGACTGTCAACAACGGCTGCAGTGTGGCAGCCTGGCCTGTGGCACATATCCATGACGGACAAGTCTACTTTAACAAAGTGTAATCAAGGGAACATTTCTCATGAACATGTCACAGTATCAGATGAATCATATAAGAGAAAAATAGGAATAAACCTAAAACACAAAGTTGGAAGCTATCACAAGCAAAGTTAAGTGTCCCCCATACTGCATCCGCAGGGGTGAAAAGGTGGTAAGAGGGCTGACGATGCTAATATGAAAGGAAGCTGAGTACAGTATTTATTTCTCATTTTATACAACTCTTGACTCTTTACAAAAATGGTTATAGTCATGCCCGGAAAAGTGTAACCCATGGCATTTGAAAGCAAACACTCTTTGTAGTTATTTAAAAGGGCCTTTTTAAAAATTATAATACAAAGGTCTGTGCTCTATAAGCAGTCCTCCACTGTGCATTATAACAATAAGGCTTACTTTTAATACAAGGACTAAGTATTTAATAGTTATGAGCCGCTGGACTTGACAAACATCATCTTATAATTGCTCTTCGCATCTTTTTTGCTCTTCGGGTCTTCTGCATCATTAGGATGCTCAGCAGCATGGAGTTCTTCTGCAGACTCCTCCTTCTCTGACTCAGAATCACTGTCCGAGTCATCTGGACTCTCAGCATCCGGTGAGTCGTCGTCATCATCATCTCCAGCCACATCCCCTTCCCCATCATGATCTTCTACCTAAAACACCAAACAAAGGCCTGTTAAGAAAAAATAAGCACCACTGGCCAGTACAGAAACTGGGACTGAGACTGATCCTATTTTTGTCTGTCTTAAAAACATCCCACTTAGCTGGACATAGTGGCGCACACCTTTAATACCAGCGCCTGGGGGACAGAGGCAGGTGGGTCTCTGTGTGTTTGAGTTCCAGCTGGGGCTACATAGTGAGATCCTGTCTCAACAAAAACCTGGTCCACTTGATGGCATTAGACCACTATTTTACTAACAGATTAAAATCCCAGGCTGCTGAGGAGAGACTGAGGATAGCTACTTCAGACTTTAAGGAAAACTTCTCAGGGACATTACCCTGTCTTCCTCCCCTAGCTTGAAAATAACTGTATTTTCTCTTCCTAAAACAGCATCTATTAGTAAATTAACACTGCACCAGTCATTACACATCAGCATTTATTACAGAGACCACTCAGAAAACAGCTAAGAAACCTAAGCCAGGATTTTAAACTTACATGAAATATTTTATTTTCTCTTATAAAGTTTTATTCATAGCCATTAAAGACGCACCTAGAGGTTAAGCAGAATTTACACTAAGCCAACATTAGAAAACTCATTTTAGGGCTGGAGAGATGGCTCAGAAGTTAAGAGCACTGCTGCTCTTTTAGAGGTACTGAGTTCATTTCCCAACACCCATATGGTGACTCACAACCACCTGTAATGAGATACGGTGATATAGTGCCCTCTTCTGGCATGCAGGCAGAACACTGCATACACAATAAACAAACAAATAAGGAAAATAATTTTAAATCCTTAAGAACATCATTCTGATTATATAGTGACAGAGATGTGCTTTTAGAGTATTTTAAGTATTTGACAAAAGCTTTCCTGTCTACTCTTGTTTCCCCCTCCTCCCCTTTCTTTATTAGCATTCTTGGCTGCTCTGGCAACCCAAATATCCAAGTAAAACTGATTATGTCCCAGTCAATGAAAACACATTACTACCTCACTGAAGCCAAGTCCACAGTGCCTCCGGTATCGGCCTGATAGTTTACTGTCCATGCTCTGCTGGTACTGAGACTCCAGTTCTTCATTAATTTTCTTGTCTTCTTCCCCTGCGTGTCCATTGTACTTTGGTTATGTTTCAGTCAAATTAACAAAAACATTTGATTACACAAAAAGACCCACAACATAGATGCTATTCTATTCAGGCCTGAGTTCTCTAACTGTGACTAACTTTTGCATTCCCTGGATAGTTTCTATAGCACAGTGTCCACATAATAAGCATAATAACTTTTAGGAGCCAACCTTCTGAATTAAGTCCAATGACCATTCTGAAGGTTCTCTCCAAGTCACCTAAAACCTCTGATAACCAAGAGCATCTGTTTTTGAACAAAGAATGAAAATGTGAGTATCCTGCTTAGACAATTTAAGGTCACCTCAAAGTGGCCTGGTTAATAGTTCTTTTGCTTGTCTTTGCTTACCAGCTAGCAGAAACAAATAAACTAAAAAACACACATTATTTAATGATTTAACATTTTTGTGTTTGTACTTACTTCACACTATTAAAACAGAACACTAAAACCCTAGGAAACCCCACTTAAAACTGATGGTCCCCAACAGTGCACACTTAAGACTTTGGGTGCAGAGACTTAGTGTACAAACATGAAAGCAATTTTAGGTTTCAATTAAAAATATTTGTAGTTTTGGTTATTTTTTTCTTCACAGATCTCTCAATGTTTTTGGCATTTATTATTCAGTGAGCATACCATGTGCTGGATTTTGTTATGGCATTTTCATGCATATATGTCATTTCATTTTGCTACAATTCTCAATTTTAAAAGAAGAAGTGTTAAATGCTAAAATGCTTTTCCATTTTGCAAAGCTGATGCTCTGCCTTATAGAACAATGCAAATCATTCTGAAATAACTAATGTCAAAGCCAGGCGGTGGTGGGGCATGCCTCTAATTCCAGCACTTGGGAGGCAGAGGCAGATGTATCTCTGTGCGTTTGAGGTCAGCCTAGTCTACAAAGCTACACAGAGAAACCCTGTCTTGAAAAAAAAAAAAAATAAATAAATAAAATAGAGAGATCAATTGATTTCTGAAATATACTACATAAGATAGATGGTATAAAGTTAAATAATTCAGTTAAAATTTGTTACATTTAATTTATATTATGCTGTTAATTAATAGCAACCAAGACTAATGTTTACTTTTCAGCAGACTGAATTAAAATCAAATTCATTTTCAGTACTTATTAAAACTATTTTCCCGCATTTTCTTTTCTTTTCTGGTGCTGGGAAGCCAGGGTCCTGCATATGCTAGACTACTGCTTATACCAATAGGATATATTTCCAGTCTCCCTTGAAACGCTTTAATTAACACAACTATGCAAAGAAAAGCATAAAATAATGCAGATTTAGCTCCTGTATTTTAATGTTTTATTTTCTTACCTGTTCGGAAGTGAGATGTTGATTTGTGATCTCCTATAACAAGACGACCAGTGTGTTCTTTCTGTAAGAAGGTGAAAAATGTTTTAAAACTTGAAATTGCTCATTCAATGTAATTCCTGGATGCCCACTACTATGTAGTGAAAACTATCTCAGGCTTCTGGAATATTCTGAAGAGCAAGGCATAAATCAAGATCCTTGTCTTTATGAAATTACATCCTAGCAAGGGTTAGAATTAGAAAGAGGTACACAAATGTAATCAGTAAGTATATTATACTATGCTAGAAGGTAGTGCAATCAAAACAAAATAGAGACTAAGGGAACAAAAAAGTCAAAGGCTAGAGATCAGGCTGGATTTTTTTTTTTTTTTGGAGACAAGGTCTCATTATGTAGACCAGGATGACTCAAACTCACAAGAGATCTGCCTGCTTCTGCCTCCCAAGTGCTAGTGCTAGGTTTAAAGGCAAGAACCACCATGCCCCACCCAGGCTAGAATTTTAAATGAGATAGATTAACGAGAAAATTAACCCAATCCAAGCACTTTCTTTACCGCTGAGTGTCCTCCCACTCTCCACCCCAGTCTTTCTGTGTACTGTCCTGGAACTTGCTCTGTATACCAGGCTGGCCTGCAACCCCACAATCTACCTGCCTTCTAAGGGGTGGGATTAAAAGCGTGTGCTATCAGCATGCCTAGGCCTACTGATTTTCTTAAAAACCTTTCTACCATCTCTTTGTGATGCCGCAAGGATATCTTAGAAAGAAAGCAAAGAAATTATTTATATAGACTGAAAGCAAAATAACAGACTTATTATAATGTACCAAATAACAGAAAATGAAAGTGAGCATCACTTTTTACAATATATTACAATTAACTAGCTAGTTCTTAATCAGATTACAATAAACCCTCAACTTCAACCTATCAAAAACAGACCTTACAATACAAAAATAAAAATAATTTGATTTAAAATTACGATATAACTAGTTTCATTTTGTTAGTTCAGTCCACTCTTTATGGTTCCTACTTCATTTCTGAAAGTAAAGGAAGGATTCAGGGAAAGAGGGAAAGGTTAAATGTGATCCAAAGCAGCATTCAGAAGCACATGTGCAGACTCCTGTATCTCCCCGTGTCTCCCACCTAAGGACACATCCTATGTTTGAGCTCTACCTCCAGCCCTTTAGGCAAAGATCTACAAGATGGTAGAGAGCCCATTTACCATTTACTAGTCACAACATTTTACAGATCTTGTTAGGATGTTTTAGTACTTTCAGAGTTTTCATTCAACAAATTTTATTTGCAGAAGCCAAGAGAAAACTTGTACTAAACTGAAACTCATTAGGAAGCAAGGATTATGGATTCATTGCAAAAATGCTCCCTGAAGGCTCTGTGAGAATCTGACTTCCTCAGTCCCTCTCCACTCAGAACTCTCTGCTCTGGGATCTGGAGAACTTAGCTTGCAGATTTACCTAAATCTATTTCTGGAAAGCTTTATTGTGCAACAAAGACAAAGAGAATTGGCCATCACTATACGTTCTCTCACAGTGATGATTCTGTATTAGTTTTAGTTTCTTAAAATACACAACAGCTCTCAATCCAGGACCCAAGGGTGGTACTAGTATGTAGCAGGTATTCAGTAAATCCTTCTGAAACACACTAGGGTTTCTGGGTACCAAAAAAAAAAAACAAAAAAACAAAAAACAACAACAAAAAAAAAAAAACCCCAAACCAAACCAACAAAAACACACGAACAGACAAAAAACAAAGGGTGGGTTTCATCTTGAGTGCTGAAAAGAAAATGCTCTCCTAATGTTTTAAAATGTAGTTTGTAAAACAAGACTGCTAAGAAAGGGTTTCAAAAAGTGCTTTCTTAGCACCTGTTAACTACACCTTCAATTGAACTGGGATGTACTACAAAACACAACATTTCTAAAATTAGACCTCTTGCAGCTACTTTTAAGGGCTATGAAATACAGACTTCTGACTTTGGGCAGAAGTTTCTATAAAATAACATGCTTAGAAATGCCTTCTATGAAAAACACCAGGTAACAAGCAATTAGGTGAGTCTACACAAATCCAATTTTCTTCATACAGTCTCTAATCACACAGCTGAAGGTGCAGAAAAGCCCAGAACTGGCTCAAAAATAGTATAAACTCCAAGTGTTTGGTTAGGCTAGTGTATTTCCCAAAGTCAAAAATAAACCAAACAAAAGAAAATATAACCTGAGGTGCTCCATTCTCCTCACTTAACTCCTACAAACATGGCATTGTTTTTAAAAAGATACAACCATAAACATATAATGCTTACCTTTCCTGCACCCATAAGTCTCAAGAACTTTTGTTTTCTCTCTTCATTGCCTAAGTCCGCTGCTTCCCAATTGCTAGATCCAAGCTGCAAGAGATTATTTATTTTGTGTTTTTGCATTTACATATATCAAAATACTTAAAGTCCATCTGTAATTCCAGTTTTTCTTCTGTCAGTTTTAACTAACTGGGACTTGTGGCTCTTAGGAAGTTAACCAAGATATCACACTTGAATGAATTCAGCTAGGCACCCCTCTCTTACCTCATGGCAGAACCTTTTGTTACAGAACAGCTCTGTCTATAAAGTCTGCAAATGTCAGAATCACATGGAGTGCTCACATATTACTGTATACACACTTCTTCAAAGTCTTTGGGTCCTGGGCTCCAGGATGCAAATTGTGACACCCACTGTGATGCACTTTGAAACCCACTGCCTTAGATTAAGCCTTGAAAAGTACTAGAGCACCTAGTACTAAAAGATACTGTTAACCAGAGCTTTAAAAATTCTGGGTTTTGGGTTTGGGCTAGTGAGTTGGCTCAATGGGAAAAGTTGTTTGCATTCAAGCCTGACAACCTAGGCTGGGGTTCACAAGGAGGAAGGAACCAACTCCCACGAGTTGTCCTCTGACCTTCATGTATGTGACATTGGAATGATGCTGAGTGTACATGTATGCACCCACCCCCACACACAAATAAAATGTAATAAAAAAAATCTACTTTGCTGATATTCTAAGAGACAGCATGTCATCATCTTTCAGGGTGTTTATTTTTTAGAATCAAATATTTATTAGAATCAAAATGTTGTAATTTTTATCCTTTCTTAGAGATCCTCCAAAGAACAAGAAGAAATTTTACTTTTAAGAAGACTAAGAAAATACTCCTAGCACTAGGGAGACAGAGGTAGGCAGATATTTGAGTTGAGTTTCAGGACAGCTAGGGCTACATAGAGAAGAAACCCTGTCTCAAAAAAATAAAAAGCGGACAAAAAGACTAAAAATCACTGTATTTTGCAAAAATCATTGTATCTTCCAAGTTACAATGGGTTCACTGGATTGTTTTGTCAATGTAAGTACTATAGAATCCTAGTAACTGTATTTTTCTCTTCATTTTGAAACAAATATAAGACTTCGTTATACTTTACCAATCACTTCCAGTCATACTCAATAGGACTAAAAGGAAACAGTGAAATATTTTTGTACTATATTGTGTTAAAATGTCAAGTCATCATGGCTCTGTTGTGCAGAATAATTTTCCACTCAAAAAGAAAACAGAAGGCATTGCAGAATCAAGATTTAAAAAAAAGAGGGCCACAGAGTTGGCTCACTGGTTAAGAACAATGGATACTTTTCTAGGGACCTGGGTTTGATTCCCAGCACTCACATGGCTGTTCACAACTGTCTGTTAACTCCAGTTCCAGTAAATTGACACCCTCTTCTGGCCTGTATGGGCACCAGTCACACACATGGTGCACAGACACATATGTAGGCAAAATGTACCCCCACACAAAAACTAACAAACAACAACAATAATAAAGAATGTAAAATAGCATGTAGTATAGAATTATAGGCTAAAAATGAAGATGAAGCTACATACGAATAACTCAGACTGACTCTTCATATTATAAAGTAGGTGAATTCTTTTCCAGCCAATGAAGCAATGTGAGACAAAAATAAGAACAAAAGAATATGGTACCCTCATCCAGAAAGCCACTCAACGGGAAGGGCTCCGTTTTGCAGTAAGAGTTTCATTTTGCAAGAAGAGCTGGGGCCATCTCATTTTTCTAAATGGATGCTTGACTTTTACTTCATCATTTATTATATGTGAGCAACATTTACTTGGTTTGTAATGGGCAAAGGCTGAAGGCAGGTGTGGATACAAAGGTGACTAAAAGAAAAAGATGATACAGAAATGAAGACATTCATTGGATTGATCATTCTAACTAAATTTATAATAAAAAATGAAAATGTTTTTACAATTATGGAGCAAAGGTGAAAAACCTCCAAAACAAATTGGTAAGTAGTTTTCAAAGAATCCAAGTATTACATTTTGACTATGAAAATGCGAGTAGAGGTAATGATAAATCTAAAACCTATTAGAAATGAATAAATAATCTTTAATCATATGTTCTAGTCCAGATATGACACCAATGAGCAAACAGGTGTATCCACAAGACACTAACTCTCTGGGTTTACAGAGACTGTTAAAATCAGAAACCATAGAGTAAAAGTTTGGATTTGTTATTGTTAAATTTATGTTAAAATTCCTAGTAGTCACTGATATTTTCCTCTTCTCTGAAAATTACAATATGTAAAGAATTTTTAAAATTCCAAGTAAAATTTTATTTAAAATAAAAATATAAAAAATGTTTAAAACAATGAGAAATACTCATCCTTGGCATATGAGAGTTAAAAGCATTTGCACCATGTCAGACCCTCTTGTACTATTTGGTGGAGATTATATGATCTCATAATTCTGGCTGCCTAAGTTATAAATCTCTATTCCTTTCCATGTGACTTCAGAGACCTTTTTATAGGTCAATTAGTCTTAAGCATTTCTAGCTCAATACAATAATAAAGTACCACTACTCCCTCAATTCTTATTCTCACTAAACCACTTGCTCAGTGAGCCAATAATGACATTTAACTTAGTTTTAATTCCTTATTTACCAAGAGTTTCCAGAAGTCTATTTTACACCTGGTGTAGTGGTGCATGCCTATGATCATGAGATGAAGGCTTGGTGCTACACAGAAAATGTAATACCAGCCTCAGCTACACAGTAGACTTATGTCAAAAATCCCAAGGGCTGGGGATCACTTGCTTAGCATGTTTGAGGTCCTGTGTCTGATTACTAGCACCAAAAACCAAACCAACACCAGCAGCAAAAGGAACAGTCTCAATAATACACTAAGAGTCGCACACATGTTAAGAATCTATTCTGAAACCGTGAAAAGCTCTGTCTCCAAAGTTCTTCTGAATGCCAACACAAAACAAATTATTCATTTGACCTCACAAGGTAACTGACAGTCAGCGGTAGGTGCACTCAAACTATTGTGTACATTTGTGTAAGTATGCACGAAATAGGTGAATCACCTATCTATACTCTGACCTTAACCTTAAGATAGCTTATGAATATGCAAATATTCCCAAATCCAACAAACTCTGAAATCCAAACCACCCCTGGTTCTCAGCCTAAGGGGTACTCAACCTGCAATGTTCTTTACCTTACAAGGAACCTTCCACTCCCATTCCCTCTAGAGCTTCTCACAGCAGTTCAACAAGCAACCCAACAGACAAATAATAAAGGAAACCAAGCAAGCTGCTCCCACAGCTTTGGCCACAACTTCTGCCTATTTCACAGCATACTGCATGGGACCAAATTATGTAGTGTTCTATGAGTCACATTTGCAAAACTGTGAAAAGGGAAAACTACAATATCTAGAACCTAACTTTTCCAATTTCCCCTTCGATTACAAGAACATATTTAGGCTGTGGTTGTAGCTTATACATAAGGCCCAGGTTTCAATGACCAACACACACACATCCCAAGAACATAGCAGCAAACATCCTGACAATGTGTTATCTGAGTTACCCTATCTTTTACAATCTCTAATCTTAAATTTTTAAAAACATATATTGTTTTTGGTTCTTCCTTTCCAAGAACAGCAAGCACAATTCAAAAATGCTACATTCTGAAACACACTGCCTGACAGTGCTGTGATTCTTTACCTCCCAGACTGATATAACAAACCAAATGAAATCCTAACAAACTCTTTTCACTATTCCTTACTGTAGACTGCAATCAACTCTACTCCTCACATACATATCCCACTGACTACACTTGAGATTACTTCTATCTGGTCCTTTTCCTAGCATTGTATTCCCTTGTATCTACTTCCAGTATCTTTTTTTAAAGTGTTTTGTTGCCCTCAATTATACATGAAGCCATTGAATCACAGTAACTTATATCTTTTACATTAAGTGGATACTAACACATTTTTTGTTGATTTTCTACAATTTCCAGGTGTATTTTGAAAATACAGATAAAAAAAACAAAAAACAAACAAACAAACAAACAAAAAGAACCAAAAACCAAGGAAGATAACATCTAATTAGCAGTAAAAATAATAAACATATATAAAGAAGACTGACATAAGAAAACCAGTAATAAGGGACAAGTTATTGTATAATACCATAACATTAATAATACAATCATCTTTTTATGATAGTATTATAGGCAAAGTGTCAAGTCCCAACCTTGAAATGCAACTATAATCACCTTTAAAGACAACATAATTTATAAAATTGAAAATGGACCAAAGCTCATCTACTTTAAATTGATTTCATCAAAGACCTTTTGTTAAACTTCGAATGTCAACTAGATTTTTTCCAATCTAGCTAGAAGTTGTTTTATTTCTGAGTCTGTCAAAGCAGGTATTTGACATCCCAGCAATCCAGTTAGTATCAGGAGGAAAACAATGCAACAGCTCTTTTAGTTCTATTTTAAAGTCTAGATCACTAAAAACCTAGAGAAATTCCTTACAAATGCAGAAAGATTGTTTTAACAATGTAAGATCTAAATTCCAGTAGCAGGGAGGATAGAGGCATGGATAAATTTCAGTAGATTTAGTAGAACCAGTCATTCCCCCAACTTTTTATTGACTACTAATCTTCCTTACAGGGTTAAAATTTATTTAAATGCTCTTACTATTCTGGTCGTCACCTCATCTTTCAGTCAAGAAGGGTGGCTCAGTATTCTCTCATTAACTACAAGATCGTTCAGGGAACCTTTTACGGATCACAAAGGACATATGAAAGACACTAAATTGCACTAAAAATTATAATTCTGAAGCTGACACTGTATTAATAAGTTAAATGAGACCAGCTAACATCTATCTCAAAGATGATTTCCTCATATGGCCTCCCCACTAATTTCCCCATCAGTGTTCCCAAAGATTTCATTATAGGAGGGCCTAATTTTAAGTGTACAAGTTACCTGAAGTTTCCATGACACTATGCTAGAGCTAAGATAAATATAACATTAACATCATATTCGTTAATCTTTCAATTCCCAGTGTCTGGCACTGCAGTCATATTTAACAGGTTATAAGGAGCAGTTTATTATTTAAACTAATAAGCTGAAGACATGAGAGTAAAGGCAGAAAGGTATCTGACATCAAAATGGGCTTCTAGGTCTCACTGCCTCTGACCTCACCATTATTCCATTACCAAATTGTCTATCACAATCTTCGGTTTAATACCGGTCTCTGTTTATTATGACTGGCGCAGATAAGGGTAGCAATTACCAGGATACTGTAAAAAAAAAAAAAAAAAAATTTACGCAGGCCGGAAAATTCGTCCAAATGTGATCAAACACTTCGCCATTGTCAGACAGCATTTTAAACCTAAAACAGGAGTATGACATATCTATCCTGGAAAGCCTAAGAAAAGGAGCTTCACCAGCTCCCCAAAACACAGAGACATCTGGATTAAGCTCTTTTCCTTTTCCTTCCTTCTCAGGGTTTCCTTCCTCGACCCCCTTCCCTCGCTTTCCTACACTGGTCTCTTCAAACCCTCATAACCTAGTAAGAAAAAGGAGACATACTCTCGTTTGCGCCCCCTCCCCTCCAGGTACCTCGGGCTCTTCCTACTTCATCCACCCATCCCGGCCTTTAGTAGGCCTCAACCCTCATCCATTGTTATTTACATCGTCGTCGGGGGAGGCTGAACGCTTCACCCCGTGCGGGTGAGACTCCCGGGCAGCACTCATCGTGGTTGGGATCCCGAAGGTGATAGGCCGAACACACTCGCAGTTCTCCTCAATCGCGACACCAGCAGCCCTCACTCAGCCACCGGCCCAAGCAGCGCCACTCCAGAACGCAGAGCCCTCCGGGCCTTCTCCGCCACAGTCGTCACTGCAGCGGCCGCTCGCCGCCCCGGAGCACTCCGGGAGTTGTAGTTTCTCGGACTCTCTCTTTACTGGCTCGATTAAGCCGTCTTTAGTGGCTTAAACTACAATTCCCAGGAGGCCGAGCGACACCTCTCGCGCGGCGTGGCGGGAGTGCCCTCAGAGGATACGCTTTCTTCGGCGGCGTGTAAAGGGAGCGTTCCCGCGGATGAGTATGGTGGTCATCTTTGGTGAAGAACTTCGGTGCCACGGAAAGGCCTAGAGTGGGTCATTACCCTTTTTCAATGAGATTCTACCCTGTTGGTAAACACGCCCTTCATCGTTAAGCACATAGATTTAAATGTAATGTTTGAGACTTAATGAATACGAGTTCCTCGGCCCAAGACAAAAACCTTTTAAAAAATGGCTTCTTTACCCACCCAAAAGTGTGGTCTCCAGTGCTCGCTCGAGATGTCTAGACGATTATGATTAATTTCTTGCTGTTTTCTAGTGTTCACTGAAATGAGTTCAGTGTAATGCAGATGACTGGTTAATTGGCTGTTTCTTATACTTTGGCCCACCTGAGGGAGTTGTACAACGCTTTCTATGGGGCTTAGTGTGAAGTAGGTAGGAGTGACCCGTTCTTCCCCGTATTGAGTATTTGAGACTTCACCGACTGAAGTCTGCCTCTGCCAGAAAATCCTGTATTCCCCTCCCCCCCCCCCTTTGGTGGAGGTGAATTTCACAAAAAATAACCTCTTTAAAGTTACAATACAATTAGGAACATTCACAGTCTTTACCTGTCACCTCAGTCTAGTTCCAAGACACCCCCTCTTAGGATAGATAATTCAATGTTCTTCCCATTTGCAAGCCCGTTTCCATTTCCTGCCTCCCCATTTCCCTTTTCCCAGCCAGAGAAACGACTAAGCTTCTCCTAAAATCTTGTAGTTCAATGTTCAGTTATTGAAAATGAACTTGTTCTGTAGATCAGGCTGACCTCAAACTCAGAGATCCTACAGCCCCTGTCTCCTGAGTGCTGGGATTAAAGGTGTGCATCACCACTGCCCAGCAAAAAGATGATTTTAAAAATAAAAAAAAAATATCTAGTATAAATCTCCATCCTGGGTGGCATGTGAAACAAACTTAACTGTCAGCTTCTGTATTCAACAAATATTCTAGTTTAACTGCTTGTATACAAATACTACTTTCCTAAATTTCAGATAAAGCTGAACCATTGATGGCATTTTGCCCAAGGTAAGGCATACCATAATGTAAACACAGTACCTGGGATATGGTAAAGGAAGATTAGAAATTCAAGATCATTCTCTCCTACATAGTGTGTTGGATGGGTCAGCCTGGGTTGCAGTAGAAACCTCTTAAAAAACCTAAATAAACAAAACAACAACCCTCCCACACCAAAATTTAAAACTATGCACACTGAAAGACAGCCTTTTAATTGCTGCAGTCATAGATCCAAATTCTGTGCCTTTATTTTTGAAACACAATAGCTTTTAAGTAAATTATCTAGAAATCTATTTGGAGCTATGTTTAATAAGCATAGCCAAGCAAAACACAGATTAGTCTGTTATTTCTATGTTAAAATAAACCGCAATAAAGGAACAAACCTATGATGAGGAAATACATTTTTAGAAGTGGTTTCTTAGTCAATAGAATTAAAATATTTTACTTACTAACTTCATAAAGATGACTAGTTTTTATAAATGCAATTATAATGGAATTACATAAAGTTACATTAAGGTGATTATGATCCACTTCAAATAGATTTGACAAATTGAAATAAACACATTTTAGAACTCTTAGCCATGTTGCTGACAAAATAAGATGGCTCAATAGCTACTTGAAGACTAATTCTAGGATTAAAAAAAAGATTATCAATAAGGTTAGTAGCTACTAAATAATTTTAACTTTGCTAATAAAGTCCAGAGAACTTCAAAGAGTTAGTAACATGTCTTTTATTCACCAGATTTGAGGCACATCTGGATGGCCATGTCTTCAGATTATAAAATCTGAAGCAATTCAAACCTCAGAATAGCATACAGACTATATCATTAGAACATACTTGACTCAGTTCATGTTCAGAAAACTAGATGTGAAGATGAAATTGTATAGTAGTAGAAATAAATGACACAGAGACTCAACAATACTCTTCCTTGTTAACAAAGAATCTCAGTCATCAGTGGAGCTATGAGACGCCTTCTTTAGTACTGAGACCATTACAGCTCCATTTTTTTTTTTTTTGTTTGTGTTTTCTAGCAAGATGCCACGGAAGTGTTGTTAGTGAATGTCTTACATTTGTACTATCTCATATATTCTCTGATAATCCTTGAGTGTCTACACATTAAGGAAGTTCTACTAAACACTTTAAGTGGCTTCATAAAGGACATATTTTCTGCATTCAAGGAATTTAAATTTTAACTGTAACAGTTTAAGTTTCAGTTTACCAATATATCAAATACATCAGGACTATTTGCCAAAGACAGAAATGAGCAAAAATGATTAATTACTGAATTACAGTCCGGGGAGTGCTGGATGTCTAGGGGCTAAACCTCTAAGGATTATTTTATTCTAAATGAATGCACACTTTTATTATTTAGCAACATCTAGCTCTTCAGATACATTTTTAGTAGTGAAAGCATTCATAATTCTTTCTCTTGTCTTTTTATCTTTTGCTGATGCTTGAAAATAAGATCTTACTAGCCCAGGTTGGCCTGAAATTCCATGTAGCCCAGTGTGTTCTTGAACTCACGATTTTCGCGTCTCAGCCTCCCAAGTGCTGGCATTACAGATGTGTGTAGCATCACCTGGATTTTAGTTTTTAAAGATATTCATCATGTTATCTACATTATCACAATCAGTAACCATCAGTAACCAACTATGCAATAGTATACCAGAACTTTTTACACTTATCTAACTTTAACATAGTACTTTTCACCAGCTTGTCCCCATTCTTCTCTTTTCTTAGTTTTTTTCCCTCTGGTAAACACTCTCAACTTCCATGAGGTCAATTTTTAAATAATCTATGCGTGAGTAAATCACTCAGAACTTGTCTTTCTGTTTCTGCTTTATTTCACTCACTGCTCTCCAGTTCCATGCATAATGGCACTCATGACAGGATTCCATTCCTTTGTAAGGCTGAATGGTGCTCTGTTGTGTATATATACTATGTCATCTATTCATCTATTGATTGATGCTTAGCTTGCTTCCATTTCTTGGCTATTATATAAATAATGCTGAGATAAAAATGGGAGCACAGATGTCTCTTCAACATACTGCCTTCATTTCCTTTGTATACATACCCGTTGGATGATTGCTGTGCATCATATGATAATTCTATTTTTAATTTTCTGAGAAACCTCCATGCTGTTTTCTATAGTGGCTGTACCAACAATCATCCATCAGTAGTGTGTGAACATCGTCTTTTATCAGCATTCTCACTATATATATATATATATATATATATGTATATATATATATATATATATATATATATATATTGATATTAGTTCTTTCTGGATTGAGGCAATCACACTGAGATTTTGTTTTTCTCTAATGGTTAGCAAATGGTGGGCATATTCTCATCTATCTGTTGGCTGTGTATCTTCTTTTGAGAATTGTTCATATACTGTTAGAGTTTGCCCAGCCCTCAAAGGGTCAGGTATTGTAGCCTTTTTTTTTTTTTTTTAAAGCCAAGTTCAGTTTTTAAAATTAGTAATTTATCTGTTTGGAGACATGGTCTGAAGCTCAGGTTGCCCTCAAACTCCTAATCTTGTCTCGGGTTTATAAAGTGTGGGATTACAGGAATCTACCACCATGCCTGATTCAAGTTCAATTTAAAGTGAAAGTCTAAAAATATTTCAGCTATTCTTCCATCCCCACTATTCCTCTTTCACTTACTGATAGGCAGTGTGCCTCTAAATTTTAAAAAGAATGTAGTATTATTGTTATTGTTATTTTTAAAATTATCTAAGTATGTGTGTTTGTTTATGGGGGGTGCGTTATGTGCCTGTGCTTACAATTGCTGGAAGAGGCCAAAGGTGTGAGGTTCCTCCTAGGGCTGGAGTAACAGTTGGTTGTGAGCTGCCTGATACAGGTGGTAGGAATTGAACTTGGGTCCTCTGCAAGAGCAGCATGGACTCTTAGCAGCTGAACCATTTCTTCAGTCTCATCTTATTTCTAATACTATAAAGTTAGGAAGGCAGGGGTCATGGATGTGCTTTATTTCTTTTTAGTTTTAAAAATCAACACACATGGTTGGACCTAGTGACACACACCTTTAATTCCAGCACCCGAAAGGCAGAGGGAGGTGTATCTCTGTGAATTTGAGGTTAGCCTGGTCTATATAAGCTATGCAATAAGACCCAGTCAGTCTCAAAAAAAAACAAAAAACAAACAAAAAAAACAAACAAACAAAAAAAAAAACAAACAAAAAACCAAAAAAAACAAAAACAAAACAAAACAAAACAAAAAAACCAGGCTAGGCTTACAACCAAATATATATATATATATATATATATATATATATATATATATATATATATATATATATATGCACATATACACACACAAACTCAAAATCAGCACATATAATAATGAGTTTTGTTATGGCAGTTTTGTACACACTTAGTTTTTGTTGGTCTTCTTCCCACACTCCCATCCTTGTTCTCTACCCACTTCATCTGGGCCCTTCTTTTCCAGGTAAACCTCTTCTTCTTTTAAAGCAAGTCTTAAGGCTTTACTTTGTTCATTGTGTGTTTCTGGGTGTGTCTGTCCATGTGGGTCTATGTATGTAGGTGCAGGTTCCTCCTGAGGCCAGAGGTTGTTGATCCATCTGAGTGCTGGGTACCAAACTTGGGTCCTCTGTGAAGCAGTATGTGCTCTTATCTGCTGAGCCAGCTCTCCAGTCCCTCTCCTCTGCTCCTCTATCATAGGAAATCTATTGCCCTCTTTATTAAAAAAATTCCTAATCCTCAAGACCTCTTCTCTTATGATGTTCTGAAAAATAATAAAACAG